AAAGTAGAAGAGACCTCCTAAACATACAAATTCCATCCTTAATACTAGGGCATCAACATTTTACTTGGCTCAGCAAGAAGGTAAGTGTGCTAAACTCAAATGCAAGTACTCAAAAATTAGTTACGTAGTTAACCAGACTAACTGGGGAAAAATATGCAAAAGTCAAAGAAAAAAAATCAGTATTTCAACTTAGAGATTACAAATGCTTTAGCTGAAAAATTATTATCAAGTTTTTTCCATTTGCCTCATATTATGGTTAGAGCTGTATCTAATGTATATAGACACTTAAAATATTAAGTACTTTTATAATATTTATAGTATAGTATTTTCAAATACTAACAGAAAAACAGTATGGGGTGAAATTATTAAGAACAGAGCATAAGAGTTACAGCTCTTCCTCAACCTAAGAAAACCTTTTCACCCATTTTGGCATAGGCAGCTTATTACTTACATGTTCTCAGTACTCTGAGTGCTCAGTCACTGGAAGACCACTCAATTTTGGCCTGAATCCTCAAAACCACCACCAAAAAAACAAACAAAACCAGGACAGCTATTAGTGCTACACACAAGTTTCCTTAGCAGATGCTGCTAAGGAAAACCATTAAACCATTTTGCTCAGGAAAACCATTTAAAAGCAAGCTGCAGTGCTTAAATAAGCTGCTTCTGGTGTGTGACCTGCTGCCGCTGTTGCTTATTCAGCAAGAAATTGATTAGTAAAGAAATCCCACCAAATATCCCACCCCCCTAAAAAACCCCAGCAAACCAAGCCAAACAACCCACAAAACCTATTTTGGTATCACAAATTAAAAGCTTTGGTCATATTTTCAGAATATGACCCACATCTTCATAAAGTCTCTCCATATACTAAGTTTGCATTTGTGGTCACATCACTATTTTGCAAGCCCCTATTTATTACTTACACAAATACAGCTTAAATGTTGTCCATCAAATGTATAGATTGAAGTGCATTGCCTCTTGTGATAGAAATCCAATAGTTTTTTGTTTATTTATTTCATATTCATTTCACCACTACTAAATCTTTCCGGCTACTTGTGTCACAGAACTGTATTAACAAGCCCTCTTCTTCCTGAATTGTCCAGCAGAAAGTTAGTATACCTTCTCCTCATTATATTCAGCAGTTTGTCACTACATTTAAATTAATGGCCAACAACAATACAAAGAACTTCCTTTCTTAACTCTTCCTTTTTGAGTAAGTACTGATTTTAAGACTGCAATATTGACAGAGTAAATACCTTAGAGCTCTCTGTTACTTCCACTCGGCATTTCAATTTAAAAAGATATTTTGTTTTAATTCTTAGCTCCTTCTCCAGCTACAGTTAAACAAACAAACAAAAAAAGAAGTTTAAAAATATTTTTTAAAAAAGCTAAAGACTTGGACTTTTTAGGTCTAATAGCGTGCTGCTTTCTGTTGAAGTGCAGTGGAGTAGTAAGGTGTATTATGCTGTTGCATCATTTTAATGCCAGTGCTGGAATGTGACTTGCCTAAGAACTGTGTGACTGCGTGAAGAGTCAGCCGGATGCGCCTGCAGTGAAACCGCGGTGGTGAAAGAGCGCGTAGCGTTCCCGAAGCGCTGCAATGCGCGCGGCCTCGCGGAG